ACGTTTATGCAAAGTAGGTGCTACTTTTGACCTTCTAAGTGTTTTAAACAGACGTATTATCCTTTTAAAGTGGGCTGTTTAGTGTGAACGGGTTCTCATCGTTTAAGAAACAGCAATCATCATATCTTTATATATATATATAGGTATAACATAACGTCAACTGTGTATGTATGCATATGTTAAGTCCACAAGAAATTTTTATACTTGCTTATAATTCTCTTATTAGGTAAAGTAGATCTTGGTGAACGTATTTCGTAACCAATTTACCAGTACATATTTTCCACTAGTTTTGACTCCCATTATATGGCTTATCCTTCAACTAATAATTCCGTTAAAGCATATAGTTTGACAGTGAATAAGAGCTTTCCTTGTGGGCTTTAGCTTTCCTCAGTATTTCACTATATAGCCTGTTTGGTAAGTATTTGTAAGGGCTTTTGTTTTGATGTAGCGATCAATCTTCAAAGAGAAACTTCTGAAGATGTTGGCCGTGCGCGTTAACGAAACTTCGAGGATATGACGTCGACTCAAAAGGTCTATAAGTGGAAACACTTCATGAACATCCTTTACCTTACTTCTTTTGGGTCATTTATAATTCACTTAATACTTAAGGTTATCAGAATTTGAATGACATGTTTCATTTAGGAGACGATGCTTGGATTTTATTCCACGGTTGGTATACATGATCTAGACAATTATGTTCGTTATCCTTCCTATTCCTGTATTCGTTTTATAAGAAATAAACGATTTTCATTTCGGGGTGAGTGTCATTGAATGGGTCATGGAATCTGAACTACAATTATCCTTAGAAACCTGACCAGAGACATATTGGAGGCAGAAGTAGGAGTTAGGAGGGGTAGAGGTAGACCTAGATTAGATTACTGTTCGCAAATAGTTAAGGATGTGGGTTGTTCTAGTTTTAGGGAAGATTAGCTCAGGATAGAAAAGCGTGGAGGTGCGTGCGTGTCCAACCAGTCTTATGACTGACGACCTTATGATGATGATCTCATGAGATAGGCAGCTATTTCTGGGAGGTTTAGGGAATCCTTCAGATATTTGTGTAGTAATCCTTGCATTTGACAAATAAGAATTTTAAATTTATATTTAGGGCACAGGCCAGAAGACCTGTAGTGACTTTTTTCTAGTTATCCTTAAAATCCCGCCGAGGTATCCAAATTACTAATCATGTTGATGTCACAAGGTTTTTAGTAAATGTTAAAGCATTTTCCTTGAGCATTTATACTAATTTGTTCCTTATTGGATTAGGATCGATTGGGAAGAGTTAATGAGCTTTAAAGCTCAAGGAAGAAAAGTTCTTCACATCGATTCCTTTTTCTTGCGTACGGCAACGTGTTGCGAGTAGAGAACGATGTAGGCTATAAAGTTGTTGGTCACTCAATTAGCTGCGCAGCGCTCAATACTAAGTTCCAGCGGCTCCTTTGACCGTCTTGAGCCTCCAATTAGTGTAAACCGTCGCCAGAGGCTGTTGCGGCCTCTTTGAAGTCAAAAAATACCTGCGCGCGTTCAGACTGTGACGGCCGTTTCGTCTTGGAACGGACGACTCGCCCTGTTGCCAAACGGGCACGTTCACAGTCTGAAATGCCGGGCCAATTAGAATGTGATTAAACTTTTTAGCCGCGATACTCATTAACGTCTTCAAGTGGTATGATCACAGTCTCAACGACGACCATCTTCTTCTTTTCCGATATAATACCTACCGGAGGAAACGCGTTTCGGTTTAATCGAATTGCACTCGAGATCTGTGTGTGAAGTTATTTATTAATAGCTGAAATTAAAAAAAAAAAACCGCTTAGAGATCGAATGAATCGATAGAGGCAGAGTGAGGAGGAGGTCAAAAGCTGACGTGTGTGTCTGTATGTATTAGGTTTATGGAACAATGATCCTTATCGTATGGAAGGCAATTAAATCCCGAAGGAGTGCGTACAACGCGCGTCCAAAGGTTTTTAAAATAAATAATTAAATTTTCAATGGCGAACAAGCCTAAACCTATATGGGCAACGCAACTTTAAGGATACATTAGTAACGTTATCCTTTTCATATCAAAATGCTCTTTTACTTAATTGATAGGTCTGTTTAACCCTTGGAAATTTTCAAGAAACGCTTCCATGATAGGGTTGCTTTTGACAAAGTTAGCGGATGGCTAATCACAACATCCTTATGTTACATTACTACAACCCCCGATAACTGAAAACGTAAAATCGTTCAGTTCTGACTGAATACACTGAACTCGCCATTGGTGTACCTATATTAGTTATATATACCTCTGATGTGATGCGTATTCACCCTCTTGTATAGGGAGACATGTACTTAGGATGTTTTTATAATTGCATTTGTTCAAGCGTATCTTTTAATTAGAAATCGGCCTTTCGAACAACATTACAAATTGTTCATGTTTCAAAGTTTAATTAAGTATTATCCATTATTAAGCAACCCCCTCACTTTATTCACTTTAGTATGCAAGTGTTTCTAATTGCTAATTACATTTCTACAAGCGTTTAATTATTTCTTAAACGTCGAATAATGAATTAATCGCTTGTGCATTTTGTGTCATTGTCTATCTACGTATAATATGCGGACGTAGGTGTGTAACAGTCAGATGAGAGAAGATGTGGCATTATTATTGTGAAGAGCACAGAGAAGAGCCCCCTAATCGCATTCTTCAGTCTTGTAAGAAGCTCTCGTTTTACACGATCGGACAAGACACGTTCAAAATACTTCTCGTTGCTGCTGGACGTGCCGCTGATGATGATGCCTCTTAATTATGTGACGCGATTAAATCGAAAACGACAAGGAGGGAGCTTCTTGCTCGCTCTAATCTCTGTTTTACATATGTCACTGGCGGCATTATACTGTAATTTTTTTCATCTCTTAAGGATGTTGGATGCAGGTTTTTAAACGGCTGTCACAGACGATTTTTGCAGAAGTTACGCGGCACAGAATATATAAAATTTGGCATAGTAAAATACATCTTATTAAACCGAATATTTTGCATAGCTCATACGCTTAAATTAACATACATTGAATTGTTCACGTAAGAATTAAAGAGGCGGCAAAGTTGTTAATTACAAAATATATTGGAAAAATATATAAAATTGTAAAATCAGGGAATACAATCCTAAAGATGTAACGAATGGTGCTTTAACAATTTTCTTCTCATGTACTCGAGATCGCGTAGGGATTTCCCAGGCTGTACTGATGTGCTTAGCTTCGCTGTAGGTACATGTCGTCTTATCTCTCAGCCTTTGAAACCTTGTTGCGATTGGAATGTTCGAAATTAGGAAACAAAATTAGTAAATTAATTAAGATACAGATAAGATAAAGAGATACAGCCGGATAGACTGGATACAGTTTTTATATGTACCTACATAATTAATACTTACAGAAATTTATAATATATGATACAAAACTGATAAGATGCAGAAGGTTAAGATGCTTTTAGAAAGTGATTCGACTTTTACTGAAATAATTTCGTACTTTTATAAATATTCACTTCAACGGTCATTTCTTTCCATACTCCTACTGAAATAAAAGAATGAAGAATGTAACTGTTCGTCACTCTCTTTTTCATGGACAATTATTTATTGATTGTCAGTGTGATTCGAAAGCTCGCAAATTTTAAGGTACCTAATACACAAGCAACGTATTATTATTATATAATTGACAAACTATTGTTGAACCGTCAGTCCTCTCTCATATATGTTTATCAATCAACATATACCAATCTGGGAAAGCTTTCTTTACTGTAACCACAGCGTAATGATTCTACACAGTAGGTTCACTCACCAGTCATGCCCATATATCCCTATCCTGTATCTACGTGTTCCCCGCTAAGCAGGGACTGGCTTCGTGAAACCACAGTACAAATACATCAAAGAGTGAACCTACTGTGTAGAATCTTTTTACTTACTGAGACGTTACCTAATTTCAACTGTAACAAAATAAAAACTTTTGGGCAGTGTCCCTCCGGACTACGCTAGGAAGTAGGGCAGATGACCCTCTTTCGTCTCCATTTAGGAATCGTAGGATTGGGGGATGGTGGTTGGGGCGAGAGAGATCGAACGGATTATATGCTAATCGGGGAATCCTTCCTTAACCCATTTTCGCCTAACGCTTTCGACAGTGGAATTTAACCATAGCCATCACCATTCCAAATATTTTAAAATATCAGTGGCTAAATGACAACATCATAGCCAAACCCAGGGCACACTTCTATCCTCACTGGACGCCCGATTCCAGGAAGGACTATAAATTGAGGAGCACGGATCCGAGGAGATAGATAGCTACTATTGCACTATAAGCAGAATTATTATTATTATTAAATGTAAATTTTATATTCCGTTAATCCTGCAGAAATTATTGGAATACGTCGTCACGCTCGGATGTGGATTATTAATAATAAAAATCTGTTTGAACAGAGTACCTACAAAAAGAAGTTGAATGCCTTCGAGTAATGAGATAGTACAAACCTGTACGTGTAGTTACTCTTGTAAAGCAATAAGTACAGTAACGTGTTCCGCTTCTGCTTTTTTATATCCTCTTTGTTTTTCCAAAACTCCGCCTCCCGGCAGTTTCACAATCAGGCCCTTAATTCTCATAAAGCGAATTACCCTTCGCAATAAACTGGCTTGAGAGATCACATAAAACAAAATAATTTACATTAAATACCTGCTAAATCACGCTTGGCTACGAAGCAACATTTATTTGCGCAGAAATACGGGCTGCATTCGTTTCAAACCTTCTATTATTGGTGGGCCGGCGGCAAAGTTCAAAGGAGACCTATCCTGCAGCCGCACCAATAGGAACGCGACGTCAGTTTGGACGTCGTTTTTTTTCATCGTCGACGGCCAATTTCTGACACCTTCATGAATGGGCGTCCTGACGGAGTCACGCCTCGCTAGGAGGAGCCACCGTCACTCTTGCCACTCCATCAGGATACAGCCGATTCTTCACTCGTTATCCGGACCAGTTAAGTAACGAAACAACTGAACGTGATACTCTTGACAGCTGTTAATCGGTTTCTGAAATCAAGCTTTTGAAAACGGTTGTATGGTCGGTTGCTGAAAGGATAATCGGTCATATTAACTGGAAGAACGAAGGACCTTGTCAGATGTTGCTAAGGTCCCAGTGAAAGTGATAGTATTTGCTTGTTAGTGAAGTGAAACAGCTGCAAGTAACAGTTCTTCATATTGAAGAAGATAATTAAAAAGGAACTGCCAAAAAGGACCTTTCACTATCGCCAGTCAGAGCCGAAATCCTTGGCAAATCAAACCCGAAATTGGTGAGTAACCGAGAAGTGCACACATCTCCTGCAAAATCCGCAGGAGAAATGGAAGAACTCGAATAAAATTTTAAGGACATTATTTCACGCCCGGAAAGTTAAAGTAAAATGCAAGATACTTCATTCGGTTCAACATCTCCTAAAGATATGTCACCGTACATAGTTTCAAAGTACAACGAAAGCCCTGTGTCTTCACGTTCCGGAAGCCCTACGATTGTGGAATCCCAAAGCCATCATTGTGTTGTTGATACATCAAAGTACGTTTCGGACGACGAAATAAGCGTCGGCTGCCCAAGTCCTGCTTTGCAGTCGCCCAAAAGGTACTCCAATTCACGAGAACCGAGTCCAGCGTTCCTCACGTCGCCGTCGACTACTTCCACGACAATTTGCCGATCGGAAAACTGTAGATGTGGGGAACCTGAAAGCGAAGACTACTTTAAGCCCTTGAAGAAGCTGAAAATGGTCCACATTGCATCAGAAAGACGGTTATCGCCCACTATAGAAGTCCAGGAGCGTTCCGAAGGTGTTAAAAGTTTCTCCATCATCGACATCCTGAACCATAAACCTTCCAAAGCTCAGCAGAATGTACGAATTGTAAGACCGTGGGACTTGGATCCCGAGTTAGAAGCGCAGCAAAGTTTGGAAAGGTTTCATAGACATTTGAAGGCTCAACAGTTGGCTCTGTTGAGGCCTGAGTTCGGATTTAATTTGAGTTATACCTCAGAAACTGGTAGTGATAGGTCTTCTAGTGTTACTTCGGACTGTTGCTCGCCGGACATTGTAACCAGCACTGCTTTACATAGACAAAAACAGCAGGTACATAATGGAAAACAACCCGGTGCTACACCTTTAGACGCCCTGTTCCAAATGACCAGCAAAACCTTCGATTCCAACTCTGCAGAAGGAAATCAAGGTAGGACACACTACAATAAAATTAACAATTTTTGACTGATTATTGGAAGAATGATTTTAAATATCAAATGGAATTTGAACATAATCCTGATGTAAAATGTAAAATTAATAATAAGGCTCCATACTCCACGGAGGACAAGGGTCTTATTTTCAGTCTTCTATTGCGAAAATAAACATGCCTTTTGCTGCTGTTCTGACATTGCGTTATCCTTTTTCTCCATTGTTGTGCATTACACAGGGTAAGAAGTGAATGGATAAAATTAGATAAACGTTTAGCTTTCCAAGATGCTATGGATTTTGGCAATTATTATCATCGATTTACAAATTGTGTGGATTCAAAAACGAAGTGTTTAATTAATTTTTTTGGATAACAAATTTCAGCCATTAAAGTAATTATATAATTTCTGAAATATGAGTTGCTAAATATTGCACCTATTAATCGGCTGCCTACGCTTGCTGTGCTTATATAACGGCAAAAAGCTGTCACTGCGATATGAAATTATTCAATTTTATAGCGGGCGTCTTTATGGGTTTCCACATTTAATAGTGTAAAGTTGTTTGTTCGCAAATTTTTTCCATCTCACTAGACTTATATTCGACTATTATGTGTGCTTTAAAGCTAGTTGGCTTGGGCTCGACCTATGCGTAAAAAGTAACTTATTTAGCCGCGTCCTACCTACGAAATTTTAATCAGACATGAGCAGCGAACTGAGTCCATTGTAGTTAAGAGTCCATACAGAGATCAGTGGTCCTTATAAAAAGCCGATGAACAAACTGTCAAAAGGCGATAGCACCTGTTTAATTATGGGTTAGATTGAATTAGATCGCTGTGCCTTTGTCGCTTCTCGTTCATGCAAAACAAATCGCGGTCTCACTTCAAAGCGGACGTCTGACAGAGAGAAAAAGTAAGAAATTGAGAGAGGACGAGTGAAGCGCGTTCGCTAAGAAGAAGAAGATAAAAAATACGCTTCTTGTATTCGACAAAATTCAAATGAAATAACAGGTTTTTATTTGAATCGTAATTCCAAAAAGACATTTCTTCTTACGACAGATTAGTATTAGGTTTGTAATAACTGCAAATGTAGGTATGCGTGTGTGTGTGTGTATGTCAACTGTAAAGGATCATCACCGGCGGCTATGTTGTTTTTTTTTTGGTGTACTCTTCTAACATCAAACGTCTAATTGAGCGAGAATTGGGCTGCGGCGCGATTAATTAATAAATTATTCAGTTAAACCGACTAGATCGTTAATTTATTGTTTGATTGCGGTATACGAGTTACAACAGATGTTGTTTTTATTGGCTGCTCCGGTGTATTTTCTTAAAAGCTTGTAGAGCTAATTAGAATAGGTAAACTCTTGAAATCGTTACAATACAAGAAGAGTGCAACTTTAGTAATGACTTAATTAATTAGCTACAACTAATTCCGAAACAGTGTGAAAATGATACAATAAAAAAAAAGATAATTGATAAGATAAATTTTCGATAAATAAGTACTAGGTCGTTATGTGTTCCCGAGATAAAAATGTTCAGTCTCTGAGAGTCTCTGAAAGCAAGACTCGAGTTTCCGTCTCTCATCGCTGAGAGAAACTGTCGAGAAACTCTCAAAAAATCTGTTTAGCGTCTCTTTAAAGAGAGACTCGAATCTCTCAATAAGTGGTGTCTCGATAGACATGGTTAACATTAAAATTAAAAGTTCAACATATTACAGAGATCCCAGTCTTTCTACGAGAGACTCGAGTATCTCAATTTTTCAGTTTTATTCATTCAGTCTCTCTGTGAGATACTCGAATCTCTGAATTAACAATTTTATCGTTCGAGTCTCTCATACAGAGACTGTGAGAGATCCATAAAAACACCTAGGCAATAACTGAGAGACTGTGANCGTTAACGAAACTTCGAGGATATGACGTCGACTCAAAAGGTCTATAAGTGGAAACACTTCATGAACATCCTTTACCTTACTTCTTTTGGGTCATTTATAATTCACTTAATACTTAAGGTTATCAGAATTTGAATGACATGTTTCATTTAGGAGACGATGCTTGGATTTTATTCCACGGTTGGTATACATGATCTAGACAATTATGTTCGTTATCCTTCCTATTCCTGTATTCGTTTTATAAGAAATAAACGATTTTCATTTCGGGGTGAGTGTCATTGAATGGGTCATGGAATCTGAACTACAATTATCCTTAGAAACCTGACCAGAGACATATTGGAGGCAGAAGTAGGAGTTAGGAGGGGTAGAGGTAGACCTAGATTAGATTACTGTTCGCAAATAGTTAAGGATGTGGGTTGTTCTAGTTTTAGGGAAGATTAGCTCAGGATAGAAAAGCGTGGAGGTGCGTGCGTGTCCAACCAGTCTTATGACTGACGACCTTATGATGATGATCTCATGAGATAGGCAGCTATTTCTGGGAGGTTTAGGGAATCCTTCAGATATTTGTGTAGTAATCCTTGCATTTGACAAATAAGAATTTTAAATTTATATTTAGGGCACAGGCCAGAAGACCTGTAGTGACTTTTTTCTAGTTATCCTTAAAATCCCGCCGAGGTATCCAAATTACTAATCATGTTGATGTCACAAGGTTTTTAGTAAATGTTAAAGCATTTTCCTTGAGCATTTATACTAATTTGTTCCTTATTGGATTAGGATCGATTGGGAAGAGTTAATGAGCTTTAAAGCTCAAGGAAGAAAAGTTCTTCACATCGATTCCTTTTTCTTGCGTACGGCAACGTGTTGCGAGTAGAGAACGATGTAGGCTATAAAGTTGTTGGTCACTCAATTAGCTGCGCAGCGCTCAATACTAAGTTCCAGCGGCTCCTTTGACCGTCTTGAGCCTCCAATTAGTGTAAACCGTCGCCAGAGGCTGTTGCGGCCTCTTTGAAGTCAAAAAATACCTGCGCGCGTTCAGACTGTGACGGCCGTTTCGTCTTGGAACGGACGACTCGCCCTGTTGCCAAACGGGCACGTTCACAGTCTGAAATGCCGGGCCAATTAGAATGTGATTAAACTTTTTAGCCGCGATACTCATTAACGTCTTCAAGTGGTATGATCACAGTCTCAACGACGACCATCTTCTTCTTTTCCGATATAATACCTACCGGAGGAAACGCGTTTCGGTTTAATCGAATTGCACTCGAGATCTGTGTGTGAAGTTATTTATTAATAGCTGAAATTAAAAAAAAAAAACCGCTTAGAGATCGAATGAATCGATAGAGGCAGAGTGAGGAGGAGGTCAAAAGCTGACGTGTGTGTCTGTATGTATTAGGTTTATGGAACAATGATCCTTATCGTATGGAAGGCAATTAAATCCCGAAGGAGTGCGTACAACGCGCGTCCAAAGGTTTTTAAAATAAATAATTAAATTTTCAATGGCGAACAAGCCTAAACCTATATGGGCAACGCAACTTTAAGGATACATTAGTAACGTTATCCTTTTCATATCAAAATGCTCTTTTACTTAATTGATAGGTCTGTTTAACCCTTGGAAATTTTCAAGAAACGCTTCCATGATAGGGTTGCTTTTGACAAAGTTAGCGGATGGCTAATCACAACATCCTTATGTTACATTACTACAACCCCCGATAACTGAAAACGTAAAATCGTTAGTTCTGACTGAATACACTGAACTCGCCATTGGTGTACCTATATTAGTTATATATACCTCTGATGTGATGCGTATTCACCCTCTTGTATAGGGAGACATGTACTTAGGATGTTTTTATAATTGCATTTGTTCAAGCGTATCTTTTAATTAGAAATCGGCCTTTCGAACAACATTACAAATTGTTCATGTTTCAAAGTTTAATTAAGTATTATCCATTATTAAGCAACCCCCTCACTTTATTCACTTTAGTATGCAAGTGTTTCTAATTGCTAATTACATTTCTACAAGCGTTTAATTATTTCTTAAACGTCGAATAATGAATTAATCGCTTGTGCATTTTGTGTCATTGTCTATCTACGTATAATATGCGGACGTAGGTGTGTAACAGTCAGATGAGAGAAGATGTGGCATTATTATTGTGAAGAGCACAGAGAAGAGCCCCCTAATCGCATTCTTCAGTCTTGTAAGAAGCTCTCGTTTTACACGATCGGACAAGACACGTTCAAAATACTTCTCGTTGCTGCTGGACGTGCCGCTGATGATGATGCCTCTTAATTATGTGACGCGATTAAATCGAAAACGACAAGGAGGGAGCTTCTTGCTCGCTCTAATCTCTGTTTTACATATGTCACTGGCGGCATTATACTGTAATTTTTTTCATCTCTTAAGGATGTTGGATGCAGGTTTTTAAACGGCTGTCACAGACGATTTTTGCAGAAGTTACGCGGCACAGAATATATAAAATTTGGCATAGTAAAATACATCTTATTAAACCGAATATTTTGCATAGCTCATACGCTTAAATTAACATACATTGAATTGTTCACGTAAGAATTAAAGAGGCGGCAAAGTTGTTAATTACAAAATATATTGGAAAAATATATAAAATTGTAAAATCAGGGAATACAATCCTAAAGATGTAACGAATGGTGCTTTAACAATTTTCTTCTCATGTACTCGAGATCGCGTAGGGATTTCCCAGGCTGTACTGATGTGCTTAGCTTCGCTGTAGGTACATGTCGTCTTATCTCTCAGCCTTTGAAATCTTGTTGCGATTGGAATGTTCGAAATTAGGAAACAAAATTAGTAAATTAATTAAGATACAGATAAGATAAAGAGATACAGCCGGATAGACTGGATACAGTTTTTATATGTACCTACATAATTAATACTTACAGAAATTTATAATATATGATACAAAACTGATAAGATGCAGAAGGTTAAGATGCTTTTAGAAAGTGATTCGACTTTTACTGAAATAATTTCGTACTTTTATAAATATTCACTTCAACGGTCATTTCTTTCCATACTCCTACTGAAATAAAAGAATGAAGAATGTAACTGTTCGTCACTCTCTTTTTCATGGACAATTATTTATTGATTGTCAGT